AGTTAGTCCCGAAATCATCTTCAGAACCAAACGAGTATTCGAGACCGGAGCATCAACATTCGCCAATTGATCGGCTAGAAGTTTGAGGCGGTTGCAATAGGCTTTGGTGGTAGGAAAATCCTCCAAATTTGTGTTCGTGAATTGGTTCTCGAGGTGGACAGCCCTCGAGTGTTTGTTGTCTTGGAAAATAGCAGCAATTCTTTTCCAACACTTCTCGGCCGAGTCATCTATCACAATAATGGAATTGAGAATATCTTGTGATACAGTGGCATACATCCATTGTAACACGGCCGCATCAAGACGATGCCAAAGATCGGGGTCTGCTTCTTTAGCATCATATGCCGCCTTCTTAGCCTTTTCATCGGTAGGAGGAACGATGTGATCAAGCACGTTATGGACACGGGCTTGAACTTTGAATAGGGCTGCCCAAGAAATGTACAGGCTTGAATCATTGTCTAACGTGACTGGAAGGAGAGATTTCACGTTGTTGATTGCTAAAGCCGGGTGAAACTTGGGTTGTTCGGCCATTGAGGGCGGTGGTTAGGGAGGAGGGGAGCGGAAGAAAGCAAAGAGAGGTGGTGACAATGGCGACTAGGAGGAGGAGGGAAGAGAAAACCTCTCTGATACCATAAAGGAAAATAATTCCGTGATTTTCATTGATTGACAAAGGTCCATTATATACATGAATTGCTACAGGATATTAGGCTAAGATTGAGGAGCCTAATAAGACCTTATTAATACACGTGATATTAGGCTAAGACCTAATTAATACACGTGATATTAGGCTAAGATTGAGGAGCCTAATAAGACCTAATTAATACAAATCACTATTTTCTAAATATATACATATTCTCTTAATATATACATATTCTGTCATTATCTATCTCCACCTTGTTCTTCGATGCAATAAGCATGTCATCCATATATAAAAGGAGATAGATATAATCACCTCCATGAAGCTTCCGAATGTAAACACAATAATCATAGTCGCTTCGGGAAAACCCATGCTTTAGCATGAAGGAGTCAAATTGCTTGTACCACTGTCGAGGAGATTGCTTCAATCCATAAAGTGACTTCCTCAAGCGACATACATGATGCTCCTTATCCTTAACCTTGTAGCCTTCAGGTTGATGCATGTAGATCTCTTCATCTAAGTCTCTGTGTCAGAAGGCCGTCTTGACATCGAGTTGTTCCAGCTCAAGATCACCATGAGTAACAATACTCAGTAGCACCCGAATAGAAGTGTGTTTCACCACCGAAGAAAATATCCCATTGTAATCCACACCCTCTCTTTGTGCAAACCCCTTAGCCACTAGCCTCGCCTTGTACCTCGTACCACCGAGCTCTGAAGGATCTTCCTTTCTTTATACAGTCACTTATAACCTATAGCTTTCTTTCCTACGGGTAATGGGACCACCTCCCATGTTTGGTTCTTCCGGAGAGATTCCATCTCCTCCTCTATCGTAGCCAACCAACTCTCGTTATCTCTATCCTGAATAGCTTCCTTGAAGGAGACCGACTCATCTTCCTCCACCGAGAATGCGTACTCAACCAAATTAACCTACCCATAGTGCTTTAGGGGTTGATCAGCCCCCAGCTTCTGTACCTGCTTGTATGCTCGCCTTGGCCTAGTAGAAGCCAAGCTATCCTCGAGCTGTTGTTGTTGTAGTGCATGTGTATTCTCCTGATGAACCTCCTCCTGCTCAAGCTCATCATCTACCTGATTTCCACTTGAACATGACTACAACTGGTTGGTCTTTAGGTTCTATATCAATAACCTGGGACTTAGAATTCCCAACAGTCTCAACACCATCATCCTTGGGCACCCTAGCAATTATGGACTTCTCATCAAAGGTAACATCCCTGCTAATCATGAACTTCGAATCTTCTGTACACCAAAGGTGATAGGCTTTTACACCCTTTGCATACCCCAAGAAAATTACCATCTTGGCCCTCGCGTCAAGCTTTCCCTCGTTAACGTGATAGTAGGCGGTACATCCAAAGATTCAGAGCCTATTATAATCTGCATGCTCCCCTGACCACACCCGATAGGGTGTATCACCGTCCAATATCGAATATGGAGATCGATTTACTATATAGCAAGCTGTAGCAATCGACTCTGCCCACCATTCTTTACCCAAACCAGCATAAGATCGCATACTCACTGTTTTCTCCCGCAGTGTTCGGTTCAGTCTCTCCGCAACCCTATTTTGCTGTAGTGTAGATCTAACTGTCCAGTGTTTGGCAATCCCCTCCTGATCACAGAACTTCTTGAAGGCACCATATGTATACTCTGTACCATTGTCAGATCTCAATGTCTTCAATTTCTTTCATGTCCTGTTCTCAATCATCGCCTTTCACTTCTTGAATGTCTCAAGTACCTCATTCTTATGCTTCAGAAAATAAATCCAAGCATATCTCGAATGATCATCTATGAATGAGACAAAATATCTGGAACCATCCTTAGAAGTTCTCGAAGCCGGACCCCAAATATCCGTGTGCACAAAATCTAGAATCCTTCTGCTCTTTTGATTGCTTCTCAGAAATTGAATCGTGTGCGTCTTTCCATACACACAGTCCTTACAAAAATCCATACAAGGCTTCTTCAGATTCTTCAGCAAACCCTCCTTACCAAGCAGATCCAAATCCTTCTCTGATATGTGTCCAAGCCGCCTATGCCTTAACCGTGTGTGCTCACATGGGTCTCCACCATTTCCATCAGTTCCAACCGCTGCATCTCCTGTCACCGTTGTATCCAAGAGAGTATATAGGTTGCCGTGACAAATGCCCTTCATCGCTACTAAGGAACCCCGAACAACCCTCTTCACTCCGTTCTCTGTTATAATCTTGCAACCCCCGGAGTCCAAAGCACTAACTGAGATAAGATTCTTTCGCAAGTCGGGAACGTGTCTTACATCCGTCAAGGTTCAAACCACTCCATCATACATCTTGATCTTGATATCGCCTAGCCCCACCGTTTTACAAGCATGGTTATTCTCCATCAATACGGTTCCACCATTAATGCTCCTGTAGGTAGTAAACCACTTTCTATTTGGACGCATGTGGTAAGAGCAATCAGAATCAAGCATCCACTTTCCGGAGGTATCCTCGCCACCCGTGACGACATAGCATACCTTATCGCTCTCTTCCCCTGAAGCGTAGCTCGCCTCTTCTTTGCCTTCTCGTCTTTCAATCTTGTTGTTGTTCTTCTTCCCACCTACTCTCTTGTTAGGACAATTGACTTTAAAATGCCCTAGCTAACCGCATTTGAAACGCAGTCTTTCCGCAAGAGGTCTTGATTTTGATCTAGACTTTCATTCCTTGTCTTTTCCTCACTCATTTCCCCTTCCTCTGGCGAAGAACCCCTGCGCTTGTTCTTTGTTACCACCAGTGGTCATATCACTAGTTGCAATTTTTCGAAGATCGTCTGCTAGAAGCACCGTTCTAGTCTCATCCATCGATAAACTATCACCCACAAGCATCAGTGTTTAAACCAGATTCTCATAAGACTTCGGCAGAAATAAAAGTAGTAGAAACGCCTGATCCTCATCTTCTACAGTCACATCGATGTCCTTCAAATCCGATATTATCCTATCGAACTTGTTAATGTATTCCCGGATTGATGAGCCTTCCTCCATCTTGCAAGTGTACAATTTGGATTTTAAATAGATCCGGTTTGTTAGACTCTTAGTCATGAAAGTGCTCTCTAACTTTAACCACACGTCCGCAGTCGTTTTCTCTCCATCTACCAAGAAAGCCACATCCCTTTTAAGACATAGGATAATCGACGCTTGTGCTTCCAAATCTAGCTCTTCTCAATCCTCATCAGACATATCATTGTGCTTCTTCTATTTTCCCGTCAAAGCTTTGTGCAACTTTTGTGAAATCAACGAGTTTTTCATTTGCATCATCCAATAGGAGAAATCATTCTTCCCATTGAACTTTTCGATCTCGTACTTTCCAACTTTAACTGTTTTACTTGTTGACGCCATTCTCCGCTTGTATAAATAAATCCGCTTCTCTCAGGAATTCCAACAAATACCTTGTGTCAACCACCACCTCAGATCAGTAGCTCAACCACCGCCAATCTGAATAAGGGCTCTGATACCAATTGTTAGGCACAGAGTCACGTCCTCACGCCGCGGAAGCGATATCACCTGAGAGAGAGCCCTGACTTTCGTTTTCATAAAAGCACAAGTCAACATTTATATTCTCGTTTCTCAAAGGAAACTAGAATAGCTAGTGAAATTCTTGTTTCTCAAAGAAAACTAGAATAGAAAGTAAAATATTTCATCAAATGGAAATATACACTCTTCCTCTCATCAGTTCTAACACTGAAATGTCGAGGGAACCTACAAGCAATGACAAACTCACAGTTAAGATAATACAGACATGAGATTTACGTGGTTCAGCAAACTTGCCTACGTCCACGGGAGAGGGTTTTTACTATGAGGAGAATACCAAACTATTACAAGTTCACTCTTCCTCTCTCTTTCTTTTCCTCTCAAATTCTGATTTTTCCCCACACTTTCCTCTTCTCTCTTCCTCTCTCTCAAATTCTGATTTTTCCCCACACTTTCCTCTTCTCTCTTCCTCTCTATTTATAGGAAACCAAGAGGGTGTGGGTTGGACAAGAGAGCATGGCTCTCCCATGCTTGTACCATCTCTTCTCTCTTCCTCTCTATTTATAGGAAACCAAGAGGGTGTGGGTTGGACAAGAGAGCATGGCTCTCCCATGCTTGTACCATGGGTGTGGGTTGGATAAGAGAGCATGGCTCTCCCATGCTTGTACCCTAGCATGGGCAAGAGCATGGTCTTGTACCCTTGTACCCATATTCACACATAACGTATGAGTTAACTTGTCGGGCCAAGCATGAGGAAGAACTGAAAATTCCGCAGAAACTCCTTCAAAATTTCGCACACATACAACAGAAAGATCAACACTAACACTGAAGTGAGGCTTCAACAACTAAATTAGATTTTTTTTTTTGAGGACTCACCTGAACTAAAAGTTCCTGGAGGAAGCAGAGCCATGACAAGTGCTGATGCTGAAAGGATAATGACACCCATGATCTCCACTCGTTGAATAAGCCACTGATTTGCTGCAGAATTTTGGAAAAATGGACTGGCATTGTTATCAACGAGCATCAGCATTTTAGTGAAAAACCGTTCTTCCTCCTTGAATGCTCTTATTATTTTCGCTCCCGATATGGATTCAGCTAGATGATTTGCTATAAAAGATCTCGTTGTCCCCTCGATTCTCATTAACTCCTTTGCAGAAGCTAAGTAGTACCTCTGAGAAATCAAAGCATGGTGACCAATAATTTTCCTAAATAACTAAACATAAGAGCATTAAGATCGTAGATCTATTTGATACCTGCAAGCGGATAGTTATGTAAACAATTGGTACGGTGACGAGCAAAATTTGCCAGGTAACAGAACCCACCACCCCGATATTGCTAAATGCAGTTAAAATGGCACAGAAGGTGTATACTAAACTGAATGGCACATCAAAGTCCACAATACTTAAATCATAAGAAGCCTGTATGGAGATAAAATAAAAGAATTGGAAACTTAGGCTGAACCTGAAATTGAGGAGACCATGTCATATGGCTAAAGTCCCGAGCTTTGTAATTCTTACCCGACTGAGTATCCTACCAATAGGAGTGGAGTCGAAGAATGACATCGGAGCATGGAACAGTGAATTTAGCAGATGAGAAAATAAAGATTTCGAGGATTGAAGACCAAGAACAACTACGAATACGGATCTCAACAGCAAGAAGAATGTTGCAGTAAGCCCAATTTCCAAGTACACTGAGATCAACCGCGATGTGGCTACTCCAGGATTTTGAACACTAAAAGCCAGCCACGAGTTCTGTGAGATTTGCCCAGCAACGAATATCACATGAGAAATAGCAGCAAGAGAGGCATATACGAAACCCTTATTCTGTTTCAAGTACTGAAGGCAAGGCATTAGACCTCCATCCCCTGTTTTTTTCTCCTCTTGCTTAATCAATTGATCCACTCCCATTGTTTTCATCAACTTTGGTTGTTTAATGTCATGGGTGTTACCGGTGCTTCTTCTTGTAGATCTCTTATCCTTTTCCAGCGAAATTATTTGGCCGAACTTTTCAGACCCAGCAGCTTCTTTGTGTGCATTGACTAAACCTTGAAATTCTTTGCAGGATGCCGATAGTTCGTTGTAAGAAGCAACAAATATAATTTCCCCATCCAACATCAACTGAAATTACATAGTTTAACTAACAGTCAGACTTGCATGTCAATTTGTTAACAGATTAACAATCAGGTTAAATTAGAATCCTGTAATTCCTTGAAATTGATAATTCCCAAATAACAGATTTTAAAAGAAACATTTCCAGGATTAGGTACAAAACTTATGCAAATAACAGTCTTGTATTATGTTGTATTGTCATATTTGATACCCTCTAATGATATTTGGCTAACACCTGTCTGTTTCCAATTGTAGAATTGGCAGCAGGTTGACAGATTCAGGCAAACTGGATGGCGATCGACCGCGTTCGTGCACGAGGCTTACTGGGCGTCAGTTTTGGTGGCGGTCGACCGCCGCCAGAGCTCGATGGATCGCGATCGACCGTGGCGGTCGACCGCCGAAGCGGTTTGGGTCTGGGTTCTGTTTCCAGACCCGTTTCGTTTGTGAGTTGTATATAAACCCTAAACTCATTTCTAGGGTTAAGCAAGGGTGATTTTGAGCTGCTGAAAGGGGATTTCTAGGGCTTCTTTTGTTGGAGTCTATTGGAGAGATCAATTGGTCTTGCAAGAGGGTTTTGGGTAAGATTTGTAACTCTAATTTGTATTCCCCTTGATTTCCATTAGTAAATCTTCCCCCTCCTTGCCCCGTGGACGTAGGAATATTGCCGAACCACGTATATCTTGTGTTCTTGCTGAGATTGGTTAGCTTGTGTTATTTGTGGTCTACTATTGTTCTTGTGTGTGCTTTTGTATTTGTCTAATCGGGCTTCCGCGGCGCACAACAAGTGATATCAGAGCTCCGGGTTGGATTTGGGAGTTTTGTTCGAAGGATTCACTGTTGGATTCTTGGTTGAAGAGTAGATCTACAATATGGTTGAAACAAGCAGGGCTAGTTCAAGTGCTACTAGTACATCGGGGTTGGCGTTGACAAAGGTGATCCAAAATTTGAACATCAATAACACTAAAATTGATGTCCCAAAGTTCGACGGTAAGATTAACTTTAGTTTATGGAGGTGTCAAGTAATGGACGCCTTAGATGCACAAAATTTAGAGAAGACTCTTGAGAGTTTCAAGAGAAACCCGAGGAGATTGATGATAGGGTTTGGAAAAAATACACAGTAGGGCTTGTGGGGTTATTCGGTCACGCCTAACGCCGGATCTTATCTATGATGTGATGAATGAGACGTCGGCAAAGAGATTGTGGGAAACGCTCAATGAAAAATATTTGACGAAGAGCATTGAGAATCGGCTTCACTTGAAGAAAAGGTTCTACCAATTTAAGATGAAGAGGGGAGTTTTCATTCGGGAGCATGTTAACAACTTCACAAAGCTAATTTCGGATATGGCCAATGTAGATATCATGGTGGAGGATGAAGATAAGGCGATGTTATTATTGTGTTCGTTGCCGGATGATGAATTTAGTAATTTTGTTCTCACTATGATAAATGGGCGAACTACAGTTTGCTACAAGGAGGTGACCTCGGTATTGGTGAATTATGAGCTGAGGAAGAATGATTGTGAGCCTTCCGAGAAGGCATCGGGTGATGCATTAGCAGTTCGTGGTCATAGTCCAAACCGTCAAAGGTTCAACCGCTCAAAATCAAAGAATAGGGGTGGCCATAAAAGTGTTGGTAGAAATCAATGTGCCTTTTGCAAAGAAGAGGGACATTGGAAGAATGAATGCCCAAAGTTAAAGGATAGAGCCGGGAAGCAAAGGGGGAAAGCTGTACAAGCTTCAGAGGTGAATGTTGCCAAGTTTGTTGGCAACACTTCAGATTCGGATTCTTCCGGTTATTCTTGTCCCGCACTGCCGTCTGTTTGTTATGCCGACTCTACGGAGTGGATGCTTGATTCGGGAGCTACATTTCACATTTTCCCTAAGAGGGATTGGTTTACCAACTTTGAGGAGTTGGAGAGAGGAGACGTGGTGCTCATGGGGGAACGATCACGTTTGTCCTATTAGTGGGATTGGCTCAGTCAGAATCAGAATGCATGACGGGGTGACTAGGGAATTGAAAGAAGTGAGGTTCGTGCCGCAGTTGACGAAGAACATCATTTCTCTTGGGACTTTGGAGGCATCCGGCTATAGAGTGATCTTAGAAGATGCTAGTTTGAAGGTCATGAAGGGGTCCATGGTAGTGATGCGAGGTGTCAGGGAAAACAGCCTATACTACTTGAAGGGCAAGACGATTACAGGGGGTCTGGCTGCTTCTATCACCACAGAGGAGGACACTACCACACTATGGCACATGAGGCTTGGACACACAGGTGAAAAGTACCTACAGTCATTGGCAAAACAGGGGCTATTGAAAGGTGCAAAGACCTGCAAGATGGAGCTGCGTGAGCATTGTATTCTTGGGAAGAAGACTAAAGTGAAGTTTGGCACCGAAATTCACAACACCCAAGGTATATTAGACTACATTCACACAGATGTTTGGGGCCCTTCTAAGCACACATCGCTTGGTGGGGCAAATTATTTTGTCACTTTCATTGATGACTATTCCAGGAGGAATTGGGTATATACCATGAAGCATAAACATGAGGTCCTGGATATATTTGTGGAGTGGAAGAAGAAAGTGGAGCTGCAGACAGGTAGAAAGGTGAAGACTCTTCGTTCAGACAATGGTGGAGAGTACAAGAGTGATTCATTTCTACAGTTTTGTCGGGATCACGGTATTAGAAGACACTTCACAGTTAGAGAGACACCGTAACAGAATGGGGTGGCAGAGAGGCTGAACCGTACCTTGCTGGAGAAGGTGCGATGTATGATGACGCAGAGTGGATTGGCTAGATCTTTTTGGGCCGAGGCATTAGTTTATGCGAGCCATCTCGTTAACAGGTTGTTGTGCACTGCGATAGAGGGGAAGACCCCTATGGAGCGTTGGTCTGGTTCTGTGGCTAATGATTATGAGACTCTTCGGATATTTGGGTGTCCAGCTTATTTTCATTTTAGTAATGGGAAGTTGAATCCGAGAGCGAGGAAGGCTATCTTTGTGGGATTCAGAGAATGTGTCAAAGGCTTCAAATTATGGGATCCAGAAGACAAGAAGATGGTCATTAGCAGAGATGTCACATTTGATGAGGCGTACATGATGAAGCCTTGAGTTCCTCAGCAGGTGGACGAAGATCAGACAGGAAGGATATCGCAGCAGGTGGAGGATGATGTGACTCCACCCACTCCAATCAGCACTGTGTCCATTGAGACTCCTACAGAGGTGGCACTAGAAGGAGATGAGATGACAGTCGGGCATTATTTAGAGGATACAGTTAATGGTGAGGCTCAGGAGCAGGGTCATGCTCAGGGGTCCATTGCAGCAAACAGACCGAGGAGAGAGATTCGTCGGCCAACAAGATACGATGATGTCATGGTGCCATATGCTTTATCTGTGGAGGTTGTTGATGATTTTATTCCTGCCACATTCAGGGAAGCAGAGTCTGTTAGCCCTTATGTTTTGATGATGTTCTTACAACCACCATTATCGGTACTAATGGCTTATTGAGTGTAAATGTAGTAAACTCATTTGTCAAGCTCGTTAGTGCCATTAATGGAGGATGGATGGAATATATGCTACAACGAAGATATCCAAAGGAGGAGGAGGCCAAGAGATGAAGCAACGTTATTTCAAGAACGACAAATTCGATCAAAAGCTTCATCCGATTCAAGCTATATCAAAGCTCAAGTATATTGCTCTCTATATAAGGATATTAGCTTTCTTTTTTTTTCTCTCTAGTGCTAGATTGTAGGCAAAGAGTTACTGAGTTTACTTGAAGCTATTGGGAATCACACACACGTTTTTAGACTTGTGCTTTTAAGCGTTTTTCACAAAATACTATTTTTCACAAGTATGAGTACCTATCTGCAAAATTCTTTTTCCAAGCAGTTTGTTTTTAGTATTAAAAATATTTTACAAAGTTTCAGAATTTTCAGGGGTCAAATAAATATTTTACAAATATTTCAAATTGGTCAAAATCAGATTTCAGAAAATATCAGAAATCGGTCGACCGGTCCGGTCGACCGATCCGATGACCTTTCTTCAGTACGTTTCCAGAGTGTCGTCGGTCGACCGGTACGGTCGACCGAATTTTCAATCTTTAATCGGTCGACCGTGCCGGTCAACCGATGAGTCTCTGAGTGTTTTACCAAATTTCCTTAGCTTCTCGCGGTCGACCGAATTTTTCGGTCGGTCGACCGAAGGCATTTTTCGGTCAACCGAAATTTCCTTCGGTCAACCGATTTTTGCCTCTGGTCAGCCGCGACTTTTTTAAACGGTCATTTACATCGAACATTGTGCTTTCACTTGTTAGTGATTGGCACAGTCTGTGATGAGGGTCTGAAGAAGAGATTATTATCTCATTTGGGAAGATTGGGTTTTGTTTTAAAATGATTTAAACTTTTCTATAAAAACCCCCCAGACCTCTTCTTCTTCCTGAGCCCTAACGTTTGAAAAACCAGAGAGCTTTTTCTGTTTCCTGAGCAAATTTTCAAAACTCTGTTTTTCTCTCTATTTCAAGTGTGATTCACCTCCCAGCTTCAGTATACATTCTCTTTGCTATAAGGGTTGTGTAAAGAGAGGTTCTTGCATTTCTTTCTTCTGCTGTGTGCGTGAGATCTGTGGAGATCTACTGTGAGGGAGTGTGATCTGTGAGATCAAACTGTGTAGTGAGAGAGATCTGTGGAGATCGCTGTGTAGACGAAGTTCCGGCTTCCAAACCGGGTGTGTAGTGGATTTCTCCTCGAGAGTGGGGAGCGGGGACGTAGGCCAGATGGCCGAACCTCGTTAACACATCGCGCGTCAAGGATAACGAACTTCTAACCTTATCTCTCTTACTTTTATCGCATTTCTGTTTTGTGGTTTGCTTGTGCTATTTTTTAATTGCATATTAGAGCCTCTTGACCCTAATCACCCCCCCTCTAGGGTCCAACAGAGTCCAGCTCTGATTCCATTAGGTGGAGGAATGCTATGGAGGAGGAGATGCAATCTCTTCAGAAGAACGACACTTGGGAACTTGCACAACTACCTAAGGGTAAGAAAGCTATTGGTTGCAAGTGGGTGTATGCTAAGAAGGAGGGATCTTCTATTGGGGACATTCAGTTCAAGGCCAGATTGGTTGCCAAGGGATATGCACAGCTTGAAGGTGTTGATTACAACGAGGTGTTTTCACCCGTTGTGAAGCATTCGTCGATTCGGATACTATTGGCATTGGTGGCACAACTGGACTTAGATTTGGTCCAAATGGACGTGAAGACGACCTTTCTACATGGAGACTTAGATGAGGAGATCTACATGACACAATCTATAGGGTTTAAAGCTGTAGGAAGGGAAATTTTAGTGTGCAAATTGATGAAATCTTTTTACGGACTGAAGCAATCACCGCGACAGTGGTATAAGAGATTTGATAGCTTTATGATTGGCCGAGGGTACACGAGGAGCCCTTATGACCCGTGCGTTTATATGCACAAGCTACAGGATGGTGAGCATATTTATTTGTTATTGTATGTTGATGATATGCTCATAGCTTCCAGGAACACTTCAGCTATTGGGAAATTGAAAAAGGAGCTGTCATCTGAATTTGAGATGAAGGACCTGGGAGAGGCTAAGAAGATACTGGGTATGGAGATTAAGAGAGACAGGGTGAAGGGGAGATTGAAGCTAACACAGAGGAGTTACTTGCAAAAGATGCTAAAGAAATTCAGTTTTGAGGGCAATACCAAGGTGGTGAGTACTCCATTAGCTCCCCACTCTAAGCTTTCAGCTTTGATGTCACCAGTTTCAGTGGAGGATAGGGACTACATGTCCAAAGTTCCGTATGCCAGTACAGTGGGTAGCTTGATGTATGCTATGGTGTGTACGAGGCCAGATTTGTTACAGGCAGTGAGCATGGTATCTAGGTACATGCATAACCCCGGGAAGGGGCATTGGGAGGCCGTGAAGTGGATTCTACGATATATTAAGGGTACCGTGGATGTTGGGTTGATATTTACGAAGAATGATGAGACAGGGCAGGATTGTATTGGCTACGTGGATTCAGACTATGTCGGAGATCTTGATAAGCGTCGGTCCACTACAGGTTATGTTTTTACATTGGCTAGTGCACCGGTGTGTTGGAGATGCATTCTTCAGTCTACAGTAGCGCTTTCTACTACGGAGGCGGAATATATGGCGGTGACTGAAGCAGTGAAGGAGGCTTTGTGGCTACATGGCTTGTTGAATGATTTAGGGATTGCACAGGAGACCATTCAGGTACATTGTGATAGTATGTCAGTTATCTATTTGGCGAAGAACCAAGTCTACCATGCACGCACGAAGCACATTGATGTCAGATTTTACTTTGTACGTGACGTATTAGATGATGGTGATGTCACGTTGGAGAAGGTCCACACTAAGGATAACCCTGCTGATATGTTGACCAAAGTTGTATCAGGTGTGAAGTTTGGTCATTGCTTGAACTTGTTGAATATTCTTCATTATTGAGGCCGTTGGCGACCATTTGGATGAACTACGTTCGGCTTGATTCTTTGGGCAAGAGGATACGTAGGCAGTCTTGCAGATACAGCCGGTTGAATTGATTGGGGGTGCTTTGGTGTCGGCTCAGTTTTGGCAAACGTTCGCCGAGGTGGAGATTTGTAGAATTGGCAGCAGGTTGACAGATTCAGGCAGACTGGGTGGCGGTCGACCGGGGCGGTCGACCGCGTTCGTGCACGAGGCTTACTGGGCGTCAGTTTTGGTGGCGGTCGACCGCCACGGTCGACTGCAGAGTTTCTACCGCCGAAGCGGTTTGGGCCTGGGTTCTGTTTCCAGACCCGTTTCGTTTGTGAGTTGTATATAAACCCTAAACTCGTTTCTAGGGTTAAGCAAAGGTGATTTTGAGCTGCTGAAAGGGGATTTCTAGGGCTTCTTTTGTTGGAGTCTATTGGAGAGATCAAGTGGTCTTGTAAGAGGGTTTTGGGTAAGATTTGTAACCCTAATTTGTATTCCCCTTGATTTCCATTAGTAAATCTTCCTCCTCCTTGCCCCGTGGACGTAAGCATATTACCGAACCACGTATATCTTGTGTTCTTACTGAGATTGGTTGGCTTGTGTTATTTGTGGTCTACTATTGTTCTTGTGTGTGCTTTTGTATTTGTCTAATCGGGCTTCCGCGGCGCACAACACCAATCCGCACTACTTTTCTGAGGGATTTAAGATTCTTATATCAGAAAAATGTAACAAATAACACAAGTGCAATTAATAATATAAAATGAATGTAAAAAGTAGTTGAAAGCTGATACGAGAACCAACCAAAATGGAGTTAAACGCAGAAAGGAAGTCAACTTGGTGAGTCACCAACAAGACTGTTTTATTCGACAAAGCTCCAAGGACATATTCCTGCATTCAGTTCAAATGAGTTTTTCATTAACATCTCGGAAAGTATAGTCACATTAAAAAGAATGACCAAATTATAGTTACATTAAAAAGTCTAGTTGAGGTACGAGCATCAACGGCACTAAAAGGATCATCAAGGAGATAGATATCCGCATCCTGATATAAGGCACGAGCGAGTTGAACGCGTTGCTTCTGTCCTCCACTGAGATTTATCCCTCTTTCTCCGATTTCAGTAAGATCTCCACAGGGTAACATCTCAATGTCCTTAAGTAAACAACATTTCTCTAATGTTTCCTGATATCTCTGCTCATCCATCAGAGAACCAAACAGAATGTTGTCTTGGATTGTTCCTGTCTGGATCCATGCATTTTGAGAAACATATGCAATTCTCCCATTAACTTGAATCTGCAGGTTCAAGGATGAAGAGTTTAAAAAAGCTGTAGATTTCAGAATGCTCTTTGATGAGAATCCATGTCCAATCATATAAAAGACAGATAAGTAATCCATCAACATCAGGTGGAACTTACCAGTTCCTTTTAACAATAGTCCGCAATAAAAGTGACAGCTGACAATGGTAACAATCAAGTCTTCTAAAATAGATGTGATAAGAGTAAAAACTATAATCCTCAATGCTCATCACAATTTCGGAGTTTTGGTGTAGTGGTATTAGAGTAACCAAGGTGTTGGGATTTTTAGATCTCGCAAAAACCCCGAAAAACCATCAAACGTAGCAAATAGAAGCACGCGAGATTTAATGTGGAAAACCCTCAACAGGAAAAAACCACGGGATTAAAATCAATCTACTATCACCACCAAATTATACTTTTTTTACACAGACAAAGGCTGCCAAACCCTCTCGCTCTCCTTCTCTCTACTCTTCTTGGTTTTTCCTCCAACAATAGAAGAATATATATAGGGAAACCAAAATCCTACCTCTAGCCTAACTTCCTAATTAGAATAGGATTCAAACTCCTAATCATGATGAAACTCAGTCTCCTAATCATGATAGATCTCTAATTCTATCTAATTCTCATGAAGTTATACAAAGAATCAAATACATAATCCTAACAATCTCCACCTTAAATTTGATTCACAAACTCCCTTGAAGATATATCATCGTCATCTTGAAACTTTGTCACTCCCGCTAGAGTCTTCTATTTCTTTCGCACTTTCATCTGTCTCGTTGTGGTGCCTCCACCTCAACGAAAAATCTCCAAGTGTCTCAACGGCTTTGGAAAAACTCACTCTCTTCTTCTTGTTCTTCACCTCTCCCTTGTGGACAAGAGTCTGAGAAGAGTAATCTATCTTGTTCTTCACCTCTCCCTTGTGGACAAGAGTCTGAGAAGAGTAATCTACACCATTAACGGATCGCCCATCTAAATAGCAAATATGAAAGAGTAATCTACACCATTAACGGATCGCCCATCTAAATAGCAAATATGATTGCTATTCTTCCTCCCTCATAAAATTAAATCATCATATTTATACACTTTGCATCACTCTCCTTCACCCATATACTTGTACCCACGCGATGCTATCTCACCCAATGAAATTAAATTAGCACCACATGATGACACATATCTCACATGATGAAGAATTCTAACCTTCCCAGTGTGAATCTTGAGGTGAACACTTCCAACACCTTCAACCTTTATCTTCTCATTGTTTTCAACAATCACATCATCAAATTCTTCATCTATTTTTAATGTGTCAAAATAATTTTTGTTGTTGTAAACGTGCATAGAGGTTACAGAATCTAACACCCAAGTGTTACTCGCATCAGTACCTGTACTCTGCATCAACAACACTACATCTTCATCATACACAACCACCAAGGAGTCTGCCTTCTTCTCATTTTCTTAAAGCTTCATCTGTCTAATACTCTTCAAATCATGACGCATCTGGGAACATCTGAACTGAATGTGACAATTCTCTCAGCAATAATAGCACTCCCTTTCGCTGTCATCTCGGCCCGAGATTTTAACTTTCCTCGATAACTGTCACATCTCCCCTTACTCCTCCCTCGATTAGAACCTTCAAAAGCTAGTGCACTCTCACCACCATTAGATGTGCTCTCCTTTCCCATCATTCTTTCATTCTCATGTAGGAGTGCTGTCACATCATCAAACTTTAAAGTTTACTTCCCTGCAATTATCGTCAATTAACAGCTTGTACGACTTTGGCAAGGAAAGCAATAGGAGTAGCGCATGCTCTTCTTCTTTAATCTCCTCATCAATAATCATAAGTTGGCAAACTAGCTGATTAAATATATTGATGTGGTCTTGAATTGTAGTACTTTCTTCCATCTTCAACGAATAAAGCTCCATCCTCAAACACAATCGGTTAGTCATCGACTTTGACGCATAAATCCCCTCGAGCCTTTCCCACAGCACCCTTTGTGTGGTCTCTTGCATAACATTATACTTGATCTCGGGGGTGAGTGCCACACGAATTGTGCTAATTGTCCTCTTTTGTATGGAACTCCATTCAGCATCCTTCAATCCTTTAGATTTATTCTCCTCCAAAGCTTGATCAACACCCTGCTGCACAAGAATATCTTGAACCGTGCACTGTTATACTATAAAATTTATCTTGCTATTGAATAGCAGGATATCGAACTTCGGACCCGAAGAAGTCATCATCCTCTGACCGCAATCAAAATTCAAATTAGTCACTGTAGAGATTGAGTTTGATAAAACTGACATTAGAAACGAACTCAGCATGTTGAAAAACCCCAGGAACTGTTCCTGGATCACCAAAATCCGTATCCAAATCCTCGATCAAAAGACAAATCAATCTCAACCATCAGATCTGTGTGAACAATATCCTACCACTACAGTATTTGCTACAATGCCTTTCCTCCTTTTATCCCTTTGATGTTGATCACCACGCTTCGACCGTTGACACCTTCACCAATCGCACACCGGTCAAACCTCCACGAACCGTCGAACCCCGCTCTGATACCACTTGTTGGGATTTTTAGATCTCGCAAAAACCCCAAAAAACCATCAAACGTAGCAAATATAATCACACGAGATTTAACGTGAAAGACCCTCAACAGGAAAAAACCATGGGATTAAAATCAATCCACTATCACCTCCAAATTATAATTTTTTGCACGGACAAAGACTACCAAACCCCCCCCTCTCTCTCTCTCTCTCCTTCTATTTACTCTTCTTGGGTTTTCCTCCAACAATAGAAGAATATATATAAGAAAACCAAAACCCTATCTCTAGCCTAACTTCCTAATTAGTTTCCTCCAACAATAGAAGAATATATATAAGAAAACCAAAACCCTATCTCTAGCCTAACTTCCTAATTAGAATAGGATTCAAACTCCTAATCATGATGACCAAAACCCTATCTCTAGCCTAACTTCCTAATTAGAATAGGATTCAAACTCCTAATCATGATGAAACTCAATCTCCTAATTATGATAGATCTCTAACCCTATCTAATTCTCATAAAGTTATACAAAGAATCAAATACACAATCCTAACACAAGGTTCAATTCCTACCAGCCATGAATTTAAAACAAATTTTTAAAAAAGAATTTGTGACCGCCGCATGTGACCAAGTTTCTCATCACAACTTTAAAGGTTTTGGTGCAATAGCAGGGGCTTTAAGGAGAAGCCTAGAAAGCTTTTGCCGGGAAGAGACACTAAATTGTGACTAATGTAAAGACAATTGTGGTAGTGGAAATAGAAGTACCTCTCCTTCTGTGTGCGAAATCTCCCCTAGAATTGCTGCCAAAAGAGTAGACTTTCCGGAACCAACCTCGCCGCAAATTGCCACCTTTTCCCGGTTGCACACCTCCAAGTTTATATTCCTTAACGTAGGCTTCACTGAATTGTCACCCCAACAAAAACTCGCTGACTCAATCACAATTCGAGCCTCATGATCCGCTGAGTATTTCCTTTTAAAATGCATATTCTGCAGCTCAGGTGCATCAAGGAACTTAACAATTCGGGCAAAAGCTACCTTCGCCTGAATCACAACTCCGATAACTTCAGGAATTTGCCTTATTGGCTCCTGAACAAGTCGGAGTATTGATATAAACGTGAAAACATTTCCTGCATAAAGGGGAACACTGAGAAAATAACACGTCGCGAAAGTAGCAGCTGACACCACTAGAGGAGACGCCAAAAGGAGGAAGTTAGCATAAGCTTTACGAAGCTGCGACGCGACCAACCATTTAAACTCAGTTTTTCTCAGACCTTCTAAAGATTTTCTGAAATGCGATTCCCAAGCGTAAAGCTTCAACACTTTGATGTTTGAGAGAGCCTCGGAAGTAGCTTTGAGCCTCGCATCCTGAGCGACCATGAGCCTCGTCTGAAATTTATGCTGAAGCTTCGCCAGCGGCGTGTTACAAGCAATGGTCAGTACGATAACAACCATGGCTGGGATCGCCGCAAGGCCCACAGAATTGAATAGAATCATCACGGCGATGCAGAGCTGAAGACCCATCGACCATATCTGATGAAACCAAAATGGGAACTCGCCTACTCTGTAAGAGTCTACCGCAAGGTAGTTCATAATCTCCCCAGATGAATGTACTTGTTTCGCAGAGTTCGATAATTTCAGTTGCTTACGGAAAATGGCTGCCGATAGCAAAGACCTCACCCGCATTCCAATTCTTCGGGTACGAAAGAACCACTGCCTTTGCGATAAGGACTCCAAGAACTTAGCAAGAAATAGGCACAAAACCAGGACATAACCTTTGTATCTTTGAGCTTCTCCTCCCCAGGAAACATCGACGAAGGCATTGAGAATCACAGGCCCTGCTGAAAGTGAGAGTACTTTAACTAGTGCGCAGAAACCGCTGACCAAGATTTCTTTTCGATGGCAATAAACGATTGCCCTCCAAATCGTCCGGGATTCAATCTGCTCGGTCTGTCTTTGTTTGTTGAGCTCACCAAGAAATGAGTAGTAGCAGTTCTCGGTTCGATCGTCCTCATCCAGTGTAGGAATATCCTTCTCCTGTAATGGTTTTTTGTACCCTGATTTCAACAGAGGATTCAGCCACCAAAATGACATTCTACTGAAAAATCCAGCATTGGTAAGAGAAGACACAGGCTCATCTGAACCTGATGAACCATTCAGAGGCCTGTAAAGTGAACCGATACTGTCCATTGGTTCACAACAAACCAAGTAACTCGTATACTGAATATGATGTCTGAAACAGTTGGGGCAAAAAAAAAAAAAACAGAGATCAGCAGCCAATCATTTGAACAAATGGGTTCTTCATCAATATCAGAATATCAAAGAATTTGAAAAGATAACCGCATGGATTCATACCCAAGAGTTCAAAAAGGAAAAGGTGTAACGAAGTTGTTCCATCTGCAAGCACTAGTTTTTTTAATATGTGATGAAAGAGGTGCACTCATTATAATGATTGCACATTGCCCACGGGGTAATTTCTTAATCTACTTTTTTGTTTAAAGGAAGTTTGTTGAGGAATAATTGGTACGTATCGCACGTGCCCCCACCATTTTTTCAGCATTTTGTCCCATCTGGGATTCGGCTAGAGCTAGGTGCTGTTTCGTTCACCCAGCATAAAATCCTAGATGCTTTTCACCCAATCATGCAGTGGCTCCACATGCTATTATTACACACGTGGATAAAGCTATATGCAATGCCATTCAAAGAGTGTTTCCAAATACTCGGCATCGCTATTGTAAATGGCATCTTGGCAAGCACATGGTTGATCATTTATTATCTCTACAAAAGTTGCATGGAGAAGAGTTTGCGAACTACTTTAATAGATGGTGGCATAGCAAGACAATTGAAACATGTATTCAACAATGGGATGAGTTAAAAGAAAAGTTCAATATAGAAGAAAATGAGGAAGGTTGGTTACAAACCATGTACAGAAATAGAACACATTGGGTTCCATGCTATCTCAAAGATACTTTCTTTGTAGGAATGACATCAAGCCAACGTAGTGAAAGTATAAATGCCTTCTTTGACACATACGTCAACTCTCAAACATTGTTGCCCGACTTTGTTGAGCAATAAGATAAAGCAATATTGTCATGCCGTTCTCAAGAATTAAGTGAAGATTGTGCTACTTTGAATACAAAGCCTGTGATGCATCTAAACCATCCGATTGAGATTCAAGCTGGAGAGTCATATACAAGAGCTATATTTGAGAGGTTTCAAGATGAGCTTAAGGCTTCTGTATCTTTGTTTCATGATGATATGGGAAAAGAAGAATCAATTTCTAAATACATAGTTGGCTCGCTCTCTACTGAAAGAAGTGTATGGGAGCATGTAGTTTATAATCAAAATGAACAGAGAATAACATGTACATGTGCTATGTTTGAGACTGATGGAATATTATGTAGGCGTGCCATTCATATTATGATATCAAATCAGTTAGTAAGAATTCCTGAAGAATACATTATGCATAGATGGACAATGAATGCAAGACACCGTAATATTGGAGTCTCTAATGTGTTGCTGGAAAAAAACTTTAATAATAATATAGAACAATGGAGTACTTTGCGCTCTTGGGCGTTGAGAGCAAAATTTAATAACGTGATGGAATGGGCACCTGAATCACCTATGGTCTTTGATAAAATAGATACATTTTTTTCTAACTTGATGGAAAAACATGAAAAAGATATCAGTGCTAAGCAAATCAAGGGGACTGAAGCTACAAGTCGGGTTGAATCTAGTACTCATGCCCATACTATTAAGAAACTCCCTCAAATCACTGTTCGTGACCCTCTCGAGTCTACAAAACATAAGGGACGGTCGAGAACAATTAGCAGATTGAAATCGGGACTTGAACAAGCACAGGAAAAAAAGAGATAAAAAGAGGACATGCGGCAGATGTGGTCAAAAGGGACATTATAAAAGTAGTTACACTAATTCTCTTGTTGCTAACCTGTCAAACAACTAGGTATTTTAATGTTTAATTGTTCACAAAGCTATTTACATTAGTTGAGTGATGCATCTTATTTACAGCTAGTTCCATTTATTCAACTGATTCTTTTTTATTTATACAGGTAGAATTTGAAGTTCATCATCCGACTCCGAAAAACAACTAGGTATTTTGATGTTTAATTTCTTATAAAGTTAATTGCATATTTACTTAATTGATACAACTTGTTTCGGTTTACAAGTCACTTCATGTATTCATTGATTCGTGTATTTATGCAGACATACGCTAGTCCTCTTCATCTGAACTTTTTTGATAATTGTGAAGGCTTCAAACGAGAAGATGTGGCTCCTCTTCATCTGAATTTTTTTGTCCTACAGTAGTTCACTTTCTTTCACCTTTTCCTCTTCATAAAGTTGCAGTAGATGGGGAAAGCATCCGGATTATGGCTTTAAGCATTCGCCTGTTTGGAAGAAATGCGTTCAACTAGGACTCGAAGGGCTCCAATACTAGCATACTGCTACCATTAATTTATGGATTATAATCATTGATCTCGTACAGATATTTCCTTTTTGTGATTTCTTTTGTTGTTCATAAAGTCTCGTGCAATGAGAAGGCCTTCATATCATCATATGTTCAAGAGTGCACTAAGTTCATAATTTAGCAATGTTATTTGTTAAAGATGAATATGAATCTGTAGGAAAAAAACACTATTACTTTGATTCAAGACAAAAAAATCCTTTCATTTATTCGAGCATCCCTACACAATATATTCTCAGTAAGCAGGTAGCTGCTTGTTGCGGAGAAATTTCCATTTTTCCTAGTGGAAACCGACCGCACCGAACTGCATCACTTCGCTACAATTCGGTTTTCTTTAGAGGGTCAGTGCAATTTGGTTGTCAAATATTTTGTCAAAACCCGAGGACTAATCGAATGCTCACCCCTACATGCTGCAGTAATCACCTTAGATATAGTTTATTGCTTGAGAAGGGTATAACTGATGACTTATTGGTAATGTGTGCGTAGTGTTTGATACGGAGCAAAGTAAATAGTATTCAAGCACACTTGTTTCATGAACATAGAGTGACAAATAAAAAATAAAAAACATCTCAAGGTTCGGGATCCACGGAGTGACAAATAAAACATCAACGCAAATTGACAAAACTTGTTTCATGGGAAATTAAGATACCAGAAAACTGGTATATGGCTTTCTTTTCTCCTGAAATTTAAATTGGATGCATGAATTAGGACTTGCTCTGAACTCTGTAAATTCTTGAGTTTGCAATTCTCATTGTTTCCGATGCAAATAATACAAGATATCTCTCGCTTTACATTGCTAAAAGGCATCAGCTCTTCGGAGGATGTGTGATGCGAACATTATTACATTGAGATTACATGCAACTTCATCTTCCTATTGACAGGCACAATGTGAATGCAGGTGTTTGCAGATGATGATTCTCCTTAGATTGCAAATTAAAATAAAAGGGAGAGACTCTTCAATAGGCAAAATTTTAGCATCACTAATCTTCATTCTTTTACAATCTTAACTTGATAAAGAAGGGGCTTATTCTTCAATTTTGATACTGGTTACAAAAACTAGGATGTACGTATACATGGACCAAACATAGACATGAGGCTTGCATAGAAATTGAGCTCAGTGAACCCATTCAACAGCCTTTGGACAAGTAGCCTACAAAACATCATCAAGTACCAACAGTTGCAAGCATTTCATGAACAATTCACCTCACTGTCAAATTTCCAAGCATTTCATTATCAACTATCTCAATGTCAAAACTCCAAGCCAAATCTGTAAGTTTGCACCCTGCACAAAACTCCAAGCCAAATCTGTAAGTTTTGCACCCTGCATAAGCTCAAAACACTCTTGCCGAAAGACTCAGCATGCTCATCAACATAGTTGGACAAAATCGATAACTGACATTATTTCAACATTTTAAGTTACCGACAGTGGGAAAAATTAAGTTGATTCCTTTAAAAAAATAAAAATAAAAATTAAAAACAAGAGCACATAAATTCTAAGGATTTTGATAAATCTATTAGGAAATAAAAATTAAAATAAAAGTAGTTGGGGAAAAAACTTTCATCAACTATATGTCTGTGAATTAAGGAGAACAATCGCGCAGGAATTAAAGTCGATTCCTTTAAAAAAATAAATTTTAATAATTCTAATAATTCTAAACTATATCAAACTTTTAGCAAATAAAAATTAAGTTGATTCCTTTAAAAAATAAAAAAACTTCAAAGATTGATGCAAATATCTGAGGAAGATCGGTGAAGGACAGCGTCGGGTTCCCTGAAGATCGACGAAGGGGATGCGTTGGATTTCCTGAGGATCGGCGATGGGGATGCGTGGGATGGAGGATTGCGTTTGGTTTAAAAAAATAAAAATAAAAAACTTCAAAGATTGATGCAAATACCTGAGGAAGATCGGTGAAGGGCGGGGATGCGTGGGATGGAGGTTCGGTTGATTTTCCTGCTGCTTGAGAATTGGCTTCGGCAAAGGATGGAGGAGGAAAAGAAACCAATGTCTTTTTGGGGAAGGTGGGATTTTTGGGATTTGCTTTTTTGCATTTTAGTCCTTGGTTTATTTGACTTTGGCATTATATGTTAACTGTTTATATGCTAACTGTTTATATGTTAACTATTTATTTGCTAATGGGTAATCAGCCAATTACAAATTGACACGTGGCGCTAGCCTAGGAAATTACCTACGCTGGCAGCTCACCTCCCGTTATATATATATATATATATATATATATCATCAAATTAACCTCAAATCCATAATCTAAGGATTAAAACTATAGTAACAGTATGACTAATATGTTTTCGGATATTTCGGATACGGATCCGGATATTTCACTACAAAACCATATTTGTAACCATATCTTGTTGGCTATAAATTTGAGTAACCAAATTCGTATCCTAACAGATACAGTTACGGATATTTCCTCAGAGACGAATGCGGCTTAGCACCCCTAAGCAATACACATCTGCCAGTTGCATGGTTAATTTACAAGCACACAAGAAACTAATACAGACAAATTAGAAGTACTCTGAATCCTCTACCTTTGAGGTTGCACGCATTGCAAAGAAGACATGGACTAAGCTTTTGCATGTGTCGGAATGAAGTAGTTCCTGAAAAGCATTTGCCTCCTAACAAAAACAGATGCCATGCCTTCAGCAAAAAGATGAAGATGGTTTTTGGCTATGGGACTTCAAATACTTGAAAAGGCTGTAGTTAGGATCTCTAGACATGTATGAAGTTACCTTCCAAAGTCCCGTGCGTGGTCCAGAGACTATACCCTCTTCTATGACATCAATACAAACCAATGGATGATGAAGATTGGCAGCTCGTTTACGGGCCTGAGTTCTTGCAAAATTGAGAATTTCCCTGGCCTCCTCAAGGGGCTCTATCTTGTCTGTTTTGTAAAGACTCTTGATCCATGGTCTTCTGAATTCAACAATATCCAAAGCCCAACTGCGAGCAGCCTTTACAAGTCTTCTATAGGCAAAATAAATGGAAAAAGGCGGAGTACTTTACCAGGATCATTTCAAGAGCTTTAGGAAGGCCAACAAGGCGTGGAAGCCGTTGTGTCCCTGAAACAACAATTGCAAGTCACTTATAGACAAGATGACTCACTGAATTCTAAACATAGAAAGTTTCTTCCATTTTTAATTGATTACAAGCACAGCCGGATATGTTAGGATAAAGAATGAACTAGAGTGGCACTTTTTACATGAGTTTATAATGTCAATATTTCCATGTCCAATTTACTGACTGGTAGGGTGAGTTCCCAACTACTTCAGTAAGCACTAAGCAGTGAATCTACGACGACAGGTTGTTCATGCATCAGACACATATTTCTTGCATGTTATTTCTGTTTTCTTAGAGACTCTTTTAGCATATATTGTGTATGTTGTTTAAAAATGTATCAAATCCTGTCCGTGCTGGCATACATCCTTCCTCGATTTCTTAGCAATGAAATGACTCATACGAATTATGGCAATTAGTTAAAGGGGTGTTAGTCAATTAGAACATTTTCATGCAAAATGGGATAATTGTTAAAGTGGAATAATTTTTCGCTAGCTAAGACGTGAAACCTTTTAACTTGTATGGAAAGTGTTCACTTGATGTTTTCTTGATGGCTAAATATCCACAAATCATAAAAAATGCTAATCACATTAACAAATTTTGAATAACAATTGATCAAACGTACAATACTTTTTCGAAGCTCTGTGGAGAAACCAATCTTCTAAGCAAGGGCCATTTATATACATGCTTTATTTAATTCTTTCTAGGAAATTATCTTGATTCTATCTTGCTAATATTCTTCTGTAGTGTGGGTGTTTATTTAATCGCATCTTTATTTTACTTACAACTCGGTGAGTCGGAGATGAATCAGGTCATCACCTATCCTACCTTCAGTTAGTTCCAAAGTGACATTTCACGGCCAAGGGAAAACCGTTTTTCTCACCATGGGAGTTGTAAACTTAAAATTCCAAAAAGTAGTAAATTAAACTTTAGAGGGGGAACTGTAGTTGCATCTTTCATTGCATGGGTGCCTATGGTTTTCCTCCACCTCTTTCTTGAGTAATATTAGCAATGTGTATCCTCTCATACGACTCCTTTTTTTCACCTTGCTTTTGTGTTTGTTTGTGATTGATAAGAATCTATATGCAGCGCACAAGTCAATTTCTCTTCTTTTTGGGTCCTCATCTCAAACAGTGATATCATTTTTAAAAGCTCTTGTAGGTGTAATTGTTTTCCAAATGCTCATTACTTCATGCTTATTCTTGCTTATTCGTTCTCTTGTTGTAGGTATATATATCTTGGGTTATTTGATAGCGAAATTGAAGCTGCAAGGTCCTACCGAACACTGATTTTCTACATGTTGGCAATAAGTTCCTTAGTATGAATAAGAAGTTTAACGTGGTTGCTAACTATCACAGTTCTTCTGTTGGTGGTCAGGGCTTATGACAGGGCAGCAATCAAAAATAATGGAAGTGAAGCTGTTATCAAGTTTAACCCAACTACTTATGATGGTGAAATACTTCCTGAAACCAATAATAGTGGTAATACCGGTTCGTATATTTTTTCCACTTGTTTTTTTTTTTGAAGATATCACTAGTAGAAAAACGACCAACCTAGACGGAAATTTCCGTCTAGGTTGGTCTACAATCCGTCTAGGTTGGTTCATCTAGACGGAAATCCGTCTAGGTAGATTGGTTTATTCTGTTTCCGTCTAGTTTGGATCAAACTAGACGGATTTCCGTCTAGATTGATCAATCTAGACGGAAACCAACCTAGACAGAAGTTATATTTCCGTCTAGGTTGTTAACCTAGACGGAAATCCGTCTATTTTTTTTTTTTTTTTTTTTTTTTTTTTTTTTTTTTTTTTTTTTTTTTTTTTTTTTTTTTTTTTTTTTTTGCAGAACCCACATTGCATGCTATATAACATCACACGTACACAATATTACACAACACCAAATCATATTCATATCCAACACAATCGATCTAATTATATTTCAATATCAAATATAATTATATTCAAATAATACATTCACCAAAAAACTAGAAAGATACATAAATTTTTTACATAGATTATAAAGAATACAATTGTTTACATAACTTGATGAACTTCGCATAATTTATAGAATCCAATTGCATTTACTCCTCCAATTTGTTGAAGCATCATGTTTCTTCCTCTTTGATCCTACATTATACAAAATTTAACATCAATTAGTCCATATCATGAAATACACTTGCAATTTGGTGTTGTCAGAATAGGATTTTCAGAAAAAGCTTCCAAATAGATAGTTATGAGCAGACATGAACATCAACTTCTCACCATGCATTTGAAATATAAAATATATATATAAAACATATAAACTATGAAAAAGAATGAGAGAAACTAGAGTCCTACCCCCTAATCAACAACTCTATTTCAACTATATAACATGTCTTGCCACAAACTATCTTACAGCCAAATTATCCAACTGTGTGTCAATTAAGGATACCGGTGAATTTACATAAGGTTAACATGTACTAAAGAAACTAGAAAGTATGTGCATGCTCACAGTTTCATGTACAAGCACTCGCTGGACTTCTGAGGAGTCAACCACATTTATAGATTATGTAATATGCAAGAACTATAGTAAATGTAAGCAATGCTTATTAGGATAAAGCAACGAACGTCATCAATATGGCACGTGAACACTCAGTTAAAAAAGAGAAGCAAAAGAATAGATAAGAAGGAAAATGGGAAAGATAAATAGGCAGGATGCAATGAAGAAGAGAAAATAGCTAGAGCCATGGATAAAAAATAAACATACATAACTAAGGGTAGGATGTAATTTGTGCACACAGTCATAAGAACAAGATATGTAGAAGTCAATGCAGAGAATACATATATAGAAGTCAGAAGAACAAGTGTATTTGTTCATAGTCATATAATCATAAAAGATCGTAAATACCTAAGTAGTTCTAAGCTCTCATGTAATTTGAATTTTAAATATGACTTGGCTTTTAGCTGATAAAGTAAATAACAGATGACCAATAATGTAAATCTGGCGACAACAACTTCAATAAGCAATCATATATAATAACAATAATAAGATGACCACTTGTGCACATTAACACAGGAAATAGATGAAAGAAGCAATGCACATCAAAATTAAATTCACTGATATGAGAAATTTTAAGGCCACATTGCTTACGTGGGTGTGTAAAAGGGCTTCCCTGACTGAAGAAATACAGTTACATAATTTTCCATAGATGAAAGAATTGATCTCTTCTTTATGTCAGTATATCCCTGCAAAAGAAGTAAAAGCTCAAATGTAAGTGGTCGAATTAACGCATCCAAACTCCTCCAACTGAGGGAAAAAAAAGTAGAACACACTGCAGATTTTGCAAGTGCTTAAGCAAGTAGATCTAGTGCTGATATCCCAGAGGAACTCAACAGTTGCTCAGCTTGTTGGCGGAAAACTAGATGGGCTTCATTTCTACAATAGAAAAAAGTTTCAGCAGATAAGAAAAAAATATTAAATTGACTTGACTAATGGAAAATTATGGAAGTTGCGGCATTAAACAAACTGTATGGCAACATGGTGTGAAATATGAATAATCAAAATTTTGATTTGATAGTATTTACTTTGAACTGTAAGAATGAAAAGTGGATCTTCATGATCATCACAAATGAAACAATGTCGTTTTATATTTTTGAGATGCAAAACAATCTTTGCATAAACTCCCATAATCCAGTGTGGAGAAATGGAGCTACCTTGGATACTAAAAAACATTGGTGCTAAAATCCATCATAATAAATCAACTACAATATAAGAAAAACTATGAAGACGGCCACAAACTAAAATATTGAGAGCCCCTTTGCACTTGTATATGTATTCATAGTCTGCGCACATTTGGGTAAAACAGATATTACCACAAAAGTACTAATAATCACAAGCAACATGCAAAAATTGGTACCATGTCAAATATTTCAGTATTTGGATATTTGATGGACTCTCATATAGT